GTGAACACTAACAGGGTTCTGTTAACGGCGTCGCGCAACCTTCTATTTTGATTCTTGCTTTTGTTGTAACAGGATTTGGTAAAGCAGTAGGTTCGGTCAGCTTGGTGATTAGTGAGCTTCCATTGGCAATCTTGATCTCATTTAGGAATGCAAGTACCAATTGTAATATTTATGTGCAATGTTCAAGACGTGTTTAAATCTACGCGTCATCGACCTCGCACTTCACAAATCATGACTTCAAACATTACCCTCATTTCATGTAGTGATAGTATTGTTGTGTAACATGTGCTGGTACATGGCATTTTCATTCACGCCAATAATGATTTTGTATGGCGCAGTCTTGCAACATCCATGTACTTAGTCTTTAGTATTGAATTGTATCGAATTCTTAACTCCTCAGTTTTAAATACTTGCAGCAACGCGACTAAATTGATTCTCGTGTGCAGAATATGTTGACGGCTGTAAATTACTGAAGATGTTGGTCGGTTTTGATGAGAGCGGCGGATGCGGGAGAAGAACATTTTAGCAGCTCTTCAACTGATGAAGTAGAGGCAGCCTCAATTATTAATCCAACTGACAAGCTCATGGACTTTGAAATGGTATGTTACTTGGTAAGTCTGGCCAAACCTCGGTTATGTTTTCGTAACCAAGAATCTTCCTTTACTGGTGTGTCGGTGTTTTGATTGAAAGAAATTGACTGAATGTCGTTAACATAATAACTGCAGGTTTGATGGCGGTACCTTACTTCTGTGGTGATCAGAAATTGCGGTTTCATGGAGTCAGAATGAAACAGGGAGCTTTGGTATTCTATATGAGACCAGAACTTGCTCCAATGTTAACACATAAATTTATTGTTGGTGGCTTTGCGAATGCTTTGTGCTGGTGTTGGAAAGAATCAGGCATCGATTTGGAGACTCAAGGAACTGATGATTTGTTCAAGGGTAAGGTTTTCTGGACATCCATTATCCTTACTTTATCTTGTTAAAAACACTACTCTGCATATAGTTCTGTTGGGAAATAACTTGTGTGTTGATTGGCAGCCGATAGCTTGAGGGTGTTGCTGAAGCATGGTCTATGTTGACGATGACTTTGGAATGGTTTGGTGTGACCGGTCATAGGTTGTCTGACTCCAACCCTCAGGTTTAACGGCATCTCATTCTATACTTGTGGACTGACTACCAGCTCCTTTCAGATAAATGCATGACTTGCTCTTTGTAAACACTAGAAGAAATTTGGATGTGAATCTCTGCCTTGTGTTTTAACTGATTTTGTTATTGTTTGTCACAGGTAAACACGAAACAGATTAATGTGCGATGGCCTTCAAGATCGGCATGGCATGCCCAAGGTGTGCAGTATGAATGGCATAAGGAGATATTGACAAAGAGATAATGGATGGCTTAGGATTAAGACCTAGTTTCTTTTAGGCTGAATTGTACGTTAGGCATGTGCTTGTAATGTTTTTTTAGGATTTGTAATGAACATGCAATAACCATTTATACACCAAGAAGTGCCAATTTGAAATCTTCTGCTCAACTTTTAGTTCAAAGGAATTGACTAAAATTTGTAACTTCCTGTAATTCAAGTAATGAGGTCCTCGTCACCTTTTTATCCCTTCATAAATATTCAAGCCTTTGATCTTGTATGTGCTCGTGAAAGCAGAGGAATTAGTCTTGAAACGCTTTACACAAAATCCTCTTTGCTCTTGCAATTAACTTGTTCTTATTTTTGTAGAAAATGAATGGTTGAACTTTTCACTTCCCTGACATAAAATACTCTTATTCTTGCAAATCGGATACTAGCATACGAGCTTTCTTTTCTTTACTTAATATATTAAGTTCTTGATTCACACACATCGAACTGTTTAACTTAATATGTCAAGAATCAAACTTTGATATCAATGGGAATCCATAAGCCGCATTGAATCACTTGATCACTTCGAAATCTAAGAGTAAAAGAATCGTCCTAAACAAAAAAAAAGTCGTATCCTCATCCTTTGTTCCATGGCTTATATCCGGGTCTGAATCTTCCGTTTTATTAAAACTTCTTCTCAACTGATGACTTTGAGGGAAAGGGTTGTCTTTGATAATCTTAACGTTACGGAGGTGAAACCACGAGTAATTGTCCCTGCCGGATTTTAAACACATATGAATTATCTCCGAATTTTAATCCACTCTACCTTTGGATGTGTGGCCTATGCTCATATTAGGTAAGACAAGGTCGAACCTAGAGCTCTGAAATGCATGTTCATGGGATACCCTGAAGGAGTCAAAGTTTATAGGCTATGGTGCCTAGAGCCAGGTCACAAGAGGTGTGTCACCAGTTGAGATGTAGTTTTCAATGAAGCATATATGGCATTCAAGAAAACTGATGATGCTGACGAAGAACTGGAACAGAGAGAGATTCCTGTTAAGGTGGAGCATGTTGATGTTGAATTGCGTACCCCAAATGAAGTCAAAGAAGATGCAAAAGATGTTGTCAAAGATGAGGAGACTGATAATGACTACCTGCTAGCAAGAGACAGGTCGAGGAGATTCATCAAGCCACCTCAGAGACTTGGGTATGCAGATCTTATAGCTTATGCCTTAATCTCTGCAAGTGAGGTTCTAGACAAAGAACCTAGAGACTATAAGGAAGTTATGAGGAGTCGAAAAAAGACTGAATGAATGAAGGCCATGTATGATGAGATGAAATCTCTTCATGATAACAACACCTGGGAACTGATCAAGAAACCTACTGGAGCCAGGTTAGTCAACTGTAAATGAATTTTCAAAGTTAAGGAAGGAATCGAAGGAGTGACGTCGAAGAGATACAAGGCAAGATTGATTGCTAGGGGGTTCACTCAGAAAGAAGGTATCGACTTTAATGATGTGTTCTCTTCTGTTGTGAAGCACAGATCCATTCTAATGTTGCTTGCCATGGTGGCGCAGTTCGACCTTGAACTAGAACAGATGGATGTGAAGAATGCGTTCTTGTATGGTGATCTAGATGAAACAATCCTGATGAGGCAACCAGAAGGGTGTGTCGAAAAGAGGAAGGAAGATTATGTGTGCAAACTGGATAGATCTTTATATGGACTGAAACAATCTCCTCGACAGTGGAATAGGAGATCCAACAAGTTCATGGCACACATAAGTTTCATCAGAAGTCAGTTCAACCATTATGTTTACTTCAGATTTCGACCAGGTAATTCATTTGTTATTTTGTTGCTCTATGTGGATGATATTCTAATAGCAAACAACAATGTCGAAGAGGTAATGAGGGTTAAGGTTGAACTCAATAAAGAGTTCGACATGAAGGATCTGGGAGCTGCTCTAGGATTCTTGGGATTGACATCCGGAGAGATAGAAAGCAGTCAAAATTATGCTTATCTCAATAGGCATACCTACAGAAGGTTCTCGAAAAGTTTGATATGTCGAATTCAAAGCCTGTTGTGACTCCGACAAACCCTCAATTCAAGCTATGTATAGATCAGTGCCCTAACACTGATGTTGAAAGAACTTATATGAATAGCATTCCATATGTTAACATAGTAGATTCTTTGATGTATGTTATGGTCTGTACTAGACCCGACATAACATATGCAGTAAGTCTTGTAAGAAGATACATGACGAATCTTGGAAAGGCTCAGTGGCAAGCATTGAAGTGGATTTTAAGGTACATAAATGGGTCTTTGAATAGAGTCTTAATTTATGATGGAGCCTTGGGTGAAGATAGTAAAGCAGCAATCGAAGGATAGGTCGACTCTGATTATGCAGGTTGTATGGATTCTAGAAAATCTATCTCTGAATATGTGTTCACTATGTTTGGGACAACAATCAGTTGGAAAACAACACTTCAGAAGGTTGTTGCCTTATCAACCACTGAAGCGGAGTATATTTCCCTAACTGAAGCTGTGAAGGAAGCACTATGGCTTGAAGGTTTTGCAAAGGAGCTAAAACTTCAAGGTCGAGTTATCACTGTTAAATGCGATAGTCAAAGTACAATACACCTGTCGAAGAATTCAGCCTATCATGAGCGAACCAAGCACATTGATGTGAGGCTGCATTTCATCAGAGGGGTAATCGAGCGTGGAGAAGTCCAAGTGCTGAAGGTTTCGACAGATCATAATGTTGCTGATATGATCACCAAGACGTTGCCCAGTTGCAAGTTTTTCCACTGTATGCAGTTAATAAAGTTGCATGAAGAAAGCTAGTTTCTTGATGTTATAGAGTTAGATCCAAGGTGGAGATTTGTGAGATGTTGGATCGAACTCTAGTATGGTCGAAGTCTGTTCGCGAGTAATGCGTGTTGTAGTCGAAGTTTGTTATAACATGCATTAGTCAATATTGCTAGGGTTGTTAGCATGTTGAATTGGGTCTTGCTTGTAAGCTCAATTGTTTAAGTTAGCTTGTACCCTAAGTTAGCTTGTAATGAATAATTGTTAAAAAGTCCATTAGGTTAGTGTGTTATTTTTCTTATAAATAGGATACTACTTTCTCAATCTTGTCATAAGGAAAAATAGGAAGATAAAATCCTAATTTCAAGAAAGAGATGTTATTTTGTTATTCTTGTATAATTGTAATCTTGTTCTAAGAGAAAAGAAAGAATAACAGTTTAATAACCAATCCTTATTGTTTTCTTCTTTATTAACTCTAAATCTTATGTGTTTTTTGATCATTAAAAAATATTTAATAAACTTATAAATAAATAAATAATAAGAATTCATATTTCTAATTATACTATTTTCAGTAATCTACAAAATAACTTAAATAAACACACCCTTAGTAGGGGACCAAAAAGTAGTGCAATGAGAATTAATAGAAAAAAGGCTTAGTTAAAGAGAACAACCCAATAAAGGCTAAAGCATAACTGTATTATAAGCTGGCATTACTTCCCTCCTTTATCTTTACAAAAACCTAAACAAATCCCTAAGAAATCATAACACAATTCAATATTTCATACTCATTAAGCGCAAGATCTAAGGTGCCACTACACACAAAATCCAAGTAAGAAGAAGAATCATGAATAAGGGAAGAGAAGGCAAAGCAGCAGCACCCTCTACAGATCTGTTAGTATGTTTTCCATCTCGAACTCATCTTCGTCTAATGCCCAAGGCCATTTGCAGCCCTGTTAGGCCTTTAGAGCCTAACAAACTCCACCGCCACCACCAGCGAAAGAGATCAATTTCGAGAGCTGGTAGTGGCGGCCAAACAAGTAGTCCAATGTTATGGACTAAAAGTAAATCAACCGTAGGCTCCGAGAATTCGGAACCAACTTCTCCAAAAGTTACATGCGCCGGACAGATCAAAGTGAGGCATAAAAACACTGCTTCAAGGAGTTGGCAATCAGTGATGGAAGAGATAGAGAAAATTCATAACAACAAGAAGCAAAAGAAGCGACTAAATTGGGCTGAATCTCTTGGTTTCAAGAAGGAGATCATGCATTTCTTCACATGTTTACGAGCAGTACGCTTCGATTTTCGTTGCTTTGGATCCTTCTCTGGAACTGATATAGTAACAGAAGACGAAGAAGAAGACGACGACGGTGAAGATGAAGATGAAGTATATTACAAAAATGATCATGTTGGTGTAGAAGAGAGTCCCGACAATGACGACAACAACGAATCATCGAGAGCCGTGTTCTCGAAATGGTTCATGGTGTTGCAAGAAAATCAAAATAACGAAGTTCACAAAGAAGAAGAAAAGAAAGAGGAAATTGGTGATGGAGATGAAGACGGAGATGGAGAAATTCCCGTGCCTCCTCCAAACGCATTATTGCTCATGCGTTGCAGGTCTGCTCCGGCGAACAGCTGGTTGACAGAAAGGGAAGAAGAAGTACATGGAAATAACAATGAAAAGGAAAATATTTCACATAAAGAGAAAGTGATAGAAAAAGAATTATCACAAACACATGTAAAGAAAGGACAAAGCTTAAAGTCATTGATGGAGGAAGAGACGACAAATAAGAAAGAGAATTTATTAGTGATGAGATACAATCCTGAATTTTATGGTATTTCAACTGATATTGCAGCAGAGACATGGATTGTTGGTGGTTTACCAGATCCAATGTCAAGGAGTAGAAGTTGGAAAAGATGAACTATCATAGTCACCAAAATATAAATTATTCTTATTTTTGTTTTTTCATTTTGTTTTGCTTTGTTTTCAAGTATTAATACAAAGATTGTGTTGTGTCAAGTGTCATAAGAATACTAACTGGGAAATTTAAGGTTGAAATCCCAGTTTTAGAAACTCTATGATCATTTTTTTTGTTAGTTTGTTGTACAGCTTTCTGGTTTCTTTACATAAGTATTTGGGAAAGTTTTTTTTACAGGTTTGGGTATGAATTTGTTAGCTCTGTTGTCTAGATTCTTAAATTGCTTTATTAGTAAAAGGAATAAAGGAATATACATAGTACAAAAAATTGACCCTGTATGTGTGTTTTATGTTATCTTTAATTTGTCAACAAAAAAGTAAAGAATTGAGTTCACTTAATTTAGGACAGTTGAGCTTTGAGTTGTGACTCGTGAGGTTTTAATAAGAGTCACGCATTAAGTGAAAGAAATTTATATATCTAATATTTTAAAGTTCTAACGTGAAAAATGTTGTACAAACTAATTGATATAATTATTTTTAAGTTCAATTTGAGGATATTTTAAAGACTCAAACTACCATCATGAGGTGACAACGTTACAGACATGGTAGTTGTAGACATTTCTCAAATGCTCCCTGACTTGCAGGCCTATGCCTATTTTTAGTGTTCAATGACGAGAGAATAGAGTAGCTTTCATTGTTGTTTTTTTTGGTTTGGTGCTGACACATACACTATTTTGTTTCTAACTGTGAGCCCCTTTTTTATCTCTGTTTTTTGAACCCCTCTCACTTATCTCTTCTAAAAGGTTCAGAGCTTTGTTAACTTCGGCTCATTTCATGGGGTCTCTAGTGTGTTTTTTTTGTCTTTTGAAAATTTTTAAAATTTGAATTATTGAATAAATAAATAAATATAATAAAATGATATGTGATAAGTTGATTGGTTGAAAGTACATATTTAATTTATTGTGATAGATAGAAAAAGTATTCCCTTATTTCTCTCAAAGGCAAAGTATCAAGGAATTAGAATTGTTTCCAATGAAATTTTCTTTCGAGAGGTCTAATGAAAATCTTAACAATCAATTAATTTTTAAATTTTTTATGTAATTGAATCAAACAAACCGTTGAAATTTTACGGGAGAAAATATTAACGGGAAAATTTATTCCCTTTGTTGATATTTTGTATCTATTTCTATATGAACCATAATAACAATGCCCTATGTCACATATCGGGATTTCCTACTGTTGGACAATAACGCAATCATACTGTCCTTGAATTCTCAACCATTTGATTAAATATCGGACAATCTAAATTTAACATTTACAAATATATTAAAATTCTATAATATAGATTTAATATTTACAAATATATTAAAATTCTATAATATAGATCACCTGCAATGAAACTAAAACTATTTAACAGTGTGTAATTGTTTGATGAGAACGAATGCATAACATAATAGAGTCGTGCATTCAGATGAAGAGTGACTAAAGAAAACAAACTTAACTTGTTATTGAATGAGACTTAAGACATTCATATTTACACATTTCATAAAAGTAGATAGAAGTTAGTTATACTATTGAAACTACCATGACTGACTTTTTAACTAACTTTTATTTTCTAATATTCTCTTTCAAACTCATGGTGGTTTTAAAGAAACTATTTCGAGTTTGTCTCTAAAACTCACAAAAAAGATTGAGGAGAGAAGTTTTGTAAGTATGTTTGCAATCCGAGCTTGAGCCAAAACATGTTGAATTTTGATGTTTGTTCGCAACAACTCATTCATGTACGAAATAAATGTTCAATTCAATGTGTTTCCTATGTGCGTGCAAAACTAAATTATGTGACAACATGACAACACTAAGGTTTTCACAGAGAAGAGTTGGTGGGAGATAAGGAATAAAAAGTTCAGGCAACAATGATTCAATCCATAAAACTTCTAAAGTTGTATGCGCTAACGCTCTATACTTTGCTCCATGTTAGAATGAGCTACCAGAGATTGTTTCTTGGAACTCCACGCTACTAGATTAGGTCAAAGATAAACACATGACCCCGAAGTCGAATGCCTGTCATCTGGATCACTCACCCAGTCAAAATCACTGTATGCACGTAAAGAGAACTTGTGCATTGAAGTTGTTAGATCTAGGAAAAGTCCATGAGTGATCGTGCCGCTTAGATATCTAAGCATACATTTCACCACACTCCAATGGGATTCAAGAGAATTAGACATGTATTGGCATGCTTTCTTGACACATAAAGCAATGTATGGACGAGTCAATGTGACATATTGTAATGCACCAACTATGGATTTGTAAAGGAAAGGATCGAGTAGCTTGTCATCACCATGATTGCTCGGTTTATAGGTGCTAAATACTAGAGTACTCACACCCTTTGCTTTAGTAATGTTAAATTTAGAAAGCAAATCCCTGATATATTTTATTTATGTGAGAATGATGGATCCACTATTCTGATAGTTTACTTTAATTCCAAGAAAATATTGAGAAATCCCTAACTTCTTAAGAGCAAATGTTACATGCAACTTGTTAATGAGTTTATGGAGTATAGATGATGATGACCCTGAAAGTAATATATCATTTACATAAACTAGTGGATACATTGTGAAATTATGATGATGATGATGATATATAAAGAGAAAATGATCGTATTGACTTTAGATGAAGCCAAGCTGAATCAAGGCTTTGATGAAGGTTTTCATACCATGCATGAGGTGTCTATTTTAAACCATAGATGACTTTCTTGAGTTGACATACTAAGGTAGCGTCTGTGTTAAGGAACCCTGGTGGTTGTTGCATGAACACCTCCTTCTAGAGGGCACCATTGAGTAAAGTGTTAATGTCTATTTGTTATATCTACCATTTACAAGTTATTACTAAAGTGAGTATGATTTGAATGTTAGTAGGTTTCACCACTGGTGAAAATGTCTCGTGCAAGTCAAAACCATGTTATTGGTGAAAACCCTTAGCCATTAGTCGTTATTTGTACTTATTTATGATGTCCTTTGTATTCTCTTTAACTTTAAAGATCCATTTGAATCCAATCGTCTTTCTATATGGTGGTAAGTTTGTCAGGACCCAAGTACCATTCTTGATAAGCGAGTTAGATTCATTTTTTATTGCTTAAAACCATTAAAATAAAGCCAAAGCTTTCTTAACTGTAGTTGGTTCTGAATGAACTAGGAAGAATTTAGGCTTGGTTAGCATGGGATGGTCATTTACTAGAAGTGGGGCCTGATTGGGTTGAGTGTGAAAGGATGGTGAAAGTGAATCAATGGATTTAGTTAGGGTATCAGTAGGTAACTCACTTGCTTGTGAAGTTGTAGCATGGAATTGGTCTATAGGTTCAACTAACACAGATATGGACTGATGGGTGATAGATGAAGCAAAAGTATTAGGTGTAGTCTGAAAAGTGTTTGACACATGTGAGGAATTACTTAGAAATTCTTTAGGTAATGATTGACTTGGTCTAGATGGTGTGTATTGGTTTTATGCATCAGATAACAGAGTGTGGTCTTTAGATGAAGCAGTTATGTCTGCAGGGTTCATTGGTGTTGTGGGACTTAGAGACACGTGAAAAAGTGTAGATTGGCTTAAGTGTGAACCATAGTTAGACTTAGGTAAGGACAACATCAAGTTTGTAGTTTTGGATGACTGACTAACATTCTCACTAACATTCCTTCACCTGAAGAAATTCATCAGGCTGTCATGTGTAACACCCCAAATTTGATTAATTTATTTAATTGAATTATTTAGAATTGTATTTAATTAATTAGTATTTGGTGTGCCTTTAAAATAATTTGGTGATTAAATATTTTGTTGGGGTGTAGTGGCAATGGTAGGGTGTGGTGAGAATGTAGGAGTTTGGTAGAATAATTAGATAATAATTAGAATAATTAATATTATAAATAAATTGAGAAATTGTTAAATATGAGGAATTTAGTCAATTGTGTGATTTGAGAGAAGTATGTGGCAAAAGGAGAGGAGCTAGAAATCAATTGGGAAAAAAATTATAATTATAAGAAATAATTAGAATATTATATATTCTAAAAGTTAGAGAAAATTAGGTTAGGGAGAAATTTTTCCGGTACGTAAAACCAAGGAGGCTTAGAGAAATAAGAGCATTTGGAAGGAGATCTAGAATTTTGAAGGGAGAATCTATAAGAGCTGCTTGATTTGCTATTGTTGCTAGAAAAACTAAGGTAAGGGGGGAGAAAGGGTTTTCACTAAGGGTGTAATTTATGATACGGTAGAGAAGAGAGGTCCTTATTCTCATAAGGGTTCCATGATTTTGTCTTGATGAATTGTTGTTGAGTTAGAAATATGAAGTTTGATGATTAATTGTGTTTATACATGTGATAATGTGAGTGCAATTATGTTTGTATTATCATGATTATGCATGTATAAAATTTTGTTATCGATGAACGTATGAGAAAACTTAGTTTTCTAAAAAAAAATCATGATGTTAATCGATTGATATCATATTAAAATCGATTGTCGGCCTTTATATTTGTAAATTTTGCCTATGACAATCGATTACAGTTGTATATTTTTGGAAAAAAAAATTAAATGGCAATTAATTTCAACTTGGAATTAATCGATTGTTTGGCTTGGAAACGTGAGTTTTGAGAAGTCATTAGTAAAATCCACTTGATGACAATCGATTGTCATACTTTGACAATCGATTGGTAGGCTAATTTATGAAAAAATATGTTTTGCTTTTTGTTGCATTGTCTGGCGATTTTGGACGTAACTTTAGTTTTGTAGGTCCAAATGAGACACCACTTGAAGCGTTGGAAAGCTAACGCGCAGAGATATCTCATGGTAGTGCTTGGAGAAATAATTTATTTGTAGTAGTGTTTCCACTTTAGGAATGTAAGTGATGACAGGTTTGATTAATTAGCGAATCATGTGTTTGCTTAATAATGTGTTGATGTTATAATGAATCAACATGATTGAGTGCTTGTGAATATGCATTTAATGGCTTGTTGTTG